GGATCGTAACCAACTATGGAGAGCGTTGAGAACAATGGAAATGCCAGAACACTTCATTGTGCTCACGTGGAACCTGTACATGGATCAAGAGGCAGTTGTATGAACAGGACCTGGTTCAAAATTGAGAGAGAGGTGAATCAGGGTTGTATCCTTCCACCATACTATTCAGTCTGTTTACTGAGCAAACACTCAGAGACGCTTGGCTGCCTGAAGAAGAATGTGGCATCAGGTTTGAAGGCAGGTCTAAGTACAATCTGCAGATGACACAACTTCACGTGCTGACGGGAGGAGAACTTGAAGCACTTGCTGATGAAAATCAAGGACTGCAGCCTTCCATATGGACCGCAAGTCAATGTAAAAATTCCCAAACCCAACTCACTGCCGTCAAGTTGATGCCGACGCATAGCGACCCTATAGGACAGGGTAGAACCGCCCCTGAGAGTTTCTGAGACGATAACTTTTCATGGGAGTAGAAAGCCCCATCATTCTCCCTCTGAGTGGCTGGTGGTTTTGAACTACTGACCTTGCAGTTAGCAGTCCAACACAATAACTCACTATATCACCATCAAGGAAACCAAAATCCTCACCACAAGACAAATATACAATATGCTGATAGAGAAAAGATTGAAGCTGTCAAGGGTTTTGTTTTGCTTGGCTTTACAATCAGTGCTCATGGAAGCAGCAGTCAAGAAATCAAATGAGGCATTGCATTGGGCAAATCTGCCCAACAAGACCTCTGTAAAGCCTTAAAGGGCAAGGATATCACTTTGAGGACTAAGATGCACCAGACCCAAGTCGCAGTATTTTCAGTTGTCGCGTATGCATCTGAAAGTTAAACGTTAAGTAAAGAAGGCGGAAGAAGAATTGATTGAATTATGGCGCTGTCAAAGAGCATTTAACAAGAGCACAAACAATCTGTCTTGGGAGAAGTAGAGCAAGAATGCTCCTTAGAAGTGAGGCTGAAGAGACTTCATCTCACGGACTCTGGACATGTTATCAGGAGATGCCAGTCCTTGGAAAAGGACACTATTCTCGATAAAGTCGAAGAGCAGCAAAAATGATGAGATGTATTGAAACAGGCTGCAACACTGGGCTCAAACATACCAACAGTGGTGAAGTCGGGCTGTGCTTCGTTCTGGGTATGTACATGGGGTACTGTGAGTCGGAGCTTACCCTATGGTCCCTATCAACAACAGCATTCACCTTGGCTGAAAAAAAAGTCCATGAACGTGGTGCAGCATACAGGGTACGAAGTCATGGAAACTTATTAGACATGGCCAAACACCTTGAGGGGAGGAGTCACTGGGCCTGGGGACTGAGGACCCTAGTCTAGGGGGACACCAAGGACAATTGTCAGAAGATCGTTGAAAGAGACAATGTTCTAAATCCGACTTGAGTGAGTAATGAGTGTCTGGGGTGTTACAAGCTCAAGAGAACGTCTCAAAGGTGCCACTATTGGTCTCTCTCCATGAAGGGGAAAAGAGGGATGACAATGGAAAGAGATACGGAAACGTAGTTCAGTGGACTAACGGACCACGTAGGCGTCCACCACCACAACTGGGCCACCGGAACAACTAGCTAGTTGCCTGGCTACCACTACCAATGGTTCTGGAAAGGATACCATTACAAGGTCCTTGTTAGACTCAGGAAAAAATGTGGACCAAAATTCCAAATCATACAAGAGACCAGCCTGGCTGCTTTGACAGAAGTTGGTGGAACCCCTCAAGACGATGGGCCCTTAACTCACTCTTCAGGTCTGGAACGGAGCTTACCTCAGTATTAGGATAATCAACTATTCGATCATCCGAATTACTACAGCAGCTGCCTATTATTTAAGATCAAGGGGCAACCTTTGCCCAGGGACCAAGTGCAGAGTGGTAGGAAAGAAGCGATGGGTACAGGAACCACAGGGAGGAAGCGGGACACACAATCGTACATTGAGGAGATTGCTATGAACAAGTTGAAACAAAATGCATAGGAACCGTTGAATGGAAATATGACGACCTGCTCTTAAACCTTCATCTAGTTCACAATAAAAAAAGGAAAAGCATGACAGTGCATCAAAGTCTTGTTAGAAGCACAAGCAAGAATGGACCAGAACCCTAGAGAACCCTATAGCGGAGAACTTCAAGTTCAATTTGAGAATCTGAGAAATATATTTAATAGAGTTAATTATTTATGTGTATGCCTCTGTACATACCACACACAGGGAGAGCCGTAGAGCTCTGTATAAGCAAAGAGAACACACATTCTTTTCCATTACCCAAGGGCCATTTATAAACTCGCTCATCTATTCAATTTGATTCCTCAAAGCAGAAATTTTGTGAACCACCATCTCTGACTTCAATAAGACAAAGTTAGAAATAAATGTACAAATGTTAGCTTTAAAATGTCAGTAGTTCTTCTATTAAAACAAAATATACGAAAACTTTCTTAATGACAGTGGGGTTGGTCAGGAAACCAAAATAGCAGTCTCAGATCATTAAGAAGTGGAGGGCAGTGAGAACCAGGGTTACCTAGGTGTCTGGGATTGGGTACAGCACAGACCACTAGGGTGGAGCTACTTTCTACTTTGGGGCTTCCCAGCCTTCCCCACTAATCTTCTCTGTCTTATGCATCAGATTGGGCTGTTTATCAGCTACGACAATGCCACCAAGCAGTTGGACACCGTGTATGATATCACACCTGAACTGGCCCAGGCGTTTCTAGAGCGGATTAGCTCTTCCAACTTCGACATGAGGAATACCTCTATCATTCACAGGCAAGGTGGAGGTGGGGGATGGAGGTGGAGGGTGAGGGTGAGGGTGGGTGGGGACTGTCTATGAAGATGAAATGTAAACAGCTCACTGCCATCCAGTCATGCCTGACTCCTAGCGACCTTATAGGACCGGGTGGAACTGCCCCTGTGGGTTTCTGAGACTGGAACTCTCTATGGGAGTAGAAAGTCTCCTTTTTCTCCTCGGGCTCTTGCTGATGTAAACACCAGCTTCCTCTAAGTAGCAGAAGACCGCAGGAAGCAGGGAGGAGACTGGCCCCCCTATTTGATCATTTTAAGAGCTCTGGGAGATATGATGGGAGGAGTCACCCCGGCATCTCCTGTGTGCCGGGTATTTTTAAATGTTTGTAACTTAGCCTAGTGCCCCCTGGTGGTGTACTGGGTTATGAGTTGGGCTGCTAACTGCAAGGTCAGCAGTTTAAACCCACCAGCTGCTCCAAGAGAGAAAGCTGAGGCTTCAGAAACCCCAACAGGCAGTTCTACCTTGCCCTGAGGTCTAAATCAGAATTGACTCTTTGGCAGTGCGCTTTTGAAACTGAGTGCTCCAAACATCTTGAATGGCCAGTACTAGCTCTATTCCAGGGTGTTTTTGAATTCTATGATTTTATTTCCCCTTCAGAAATGTTATTTCATTTACTCTTGTTGGATATATACACAGTAGACATCAATGCAGCAATTTCTACACGTACAGCTCAATGGCATCTCTGACATTCTTTAAGTTGGACAACAGTTTCACCCTCCTTTTCTGAACCGTTCTTCCTCTATTAACATAGCCCCACTCTCCAGGGTGGGAACTTACTTCCATTCAGCTGGATTAGCTCTCCATGATTCTACCCACAATCTCTTCAAGACAAGCCAGGCTCTTAATACCACGTACAGCCAAATGACTCCAAACCGAATTCCAAACCCATGTTCACATGTTAGGTATTTGAATGAAGAGCCTTAAAGTCAGCAGTTCAAAACCACCAGCCCCCTC